AAACTAATGTTAGGCTTTTTATTTTTGAAAATTTCATATGGAGTTTTCTTTAAAATAGGCCTAATCATTACTCGGTTAATTACATAACAAGCGGTATTTGTGGCTTCCGCCCAAAAATATTTTGGCAAATTGTTTTCACAAAACATGGTTCTAGAAATTTCCTCTAAAGTTCTATTTTTCCTCTCAATAACTCCATTTGTTAGGGGTTCTAGGTGCCGAAAAACTATGGCTAATCTCATTTGAATTACAAAAATCAGTAAATCCAAGATTTTCAAATTTAGTACAATGATCACTCCTAACACTTGAAATGGAGTAACCTTTTTCATTTTGGGATACTTTTAAAAAAATGATAAAATTTTCTAATGCTTCATCTTTAGTACTTAAAAATATAGAACCCAATTAAATCTAGAATAGTCATCAACTAATACAAAAGTATATTGTTTTCCACCCAAGCTAGTTGTTCTAATTGGCCCAAAAAGATCTATGTGGATCAATTGTAATACTCTGCTAGTTCATACATCATTAATGGATTTAAAGGAAGCTCTCTTATGTTTTCCTTTTGTACATGCATCACAGATTTTATCATTATCAAATTTTAGTTTTGGCAAACCTCTTACTAAATTGCCTTGATAAAGTCTTTGCAAAACACTCATGCTTGTATGTCCCAGTCCCATATATCATAACCAACTATCATGCTCATCCTTGGCAACTAGGCATAATTAAGTCATGTTGGTTGAATCTAAATGCACCATGTAAATGTTCCCTATTCTATGACCAATAAGCATAATCCTATTAGGTGTAATGTCAATAACTTTACAACCGTTTGATTCAAATAAGACATTTTATCCTTTATCACACAATTGACTAATACTTAATAGATTATGCTTTAACCCATTCACATATAATACATTTTCTATTTTTATGGAAGAGGTATTACCTATAGTACATATATCTTCAATGTAACCTTTTGAGTTGTCCCAAAGGTACTACTCCTCCATTTTTGTCGTTAAGCTCTGTAAACTGGCTCTTGTCTCCGATCATATGTCTTGAGCATCCACTATCAAGGTACCATGAATTTGAGCTTGTATTTCGTGCCTTGAAGCAATGCTCCTTTTCCTACAAACATAGATTAATTTTTTATTTTTGGTACCCAAATTCTTTTGGGTCCATATTCATTAGTCCCTAAAAGCCTTGTCCCCTTAGGTATCCATTTGTTTAGGATATCCTTATCTTTAGTAGCATTGAGTCCTTTAGGAACCCATATACTCCTAATAATATTACCATTTGAGGTTCTTTGGGGACCTCTATGATTGTAAGATTTAAAGTTATTTCTAATATAGTTGGATTTTGAATTTTCTCATTTTTCAAAATGTTTTGATTCGACTTTATCGAAAGAAGCTTTAAGATCATCAATTTTCTTTTGATGATCTTCATTAACTCTTGAAAGTAAGTTTTGCAAATCAGAATTTTGTTTCTCAAAATCTTTTATTTTGACTTGCAAATCTTTAATCTTACTTTCGAGTTCACTGTTGGTCTTGGATATGAGATCTTTTTCATTTTTTAATTTTGAAGTACCTTTCTTGTATTTTGAAAATAATTTCTCATAATCTGAAGCCAAACCATTATATTCCTGTAATAACTCATCAAATGAATAATCTTCTAAATTAGATGAGTTAGAGGTTACCTGAGAATCATCCTCAGTGGCCATTAAGCACAAGTTTACTACTTCTTGTTCCTCTTCATAAGATGATTCATCATCGCTCCAAGTAGCCCCATGTGCTTTATGTTTTTTCTTTAAAAGACCCTTCTTCTTCAATTATGGGCAATCATATTTAACATGCCCAGGCTTTTTGCACTCATAGCAAATGATTGGGTCCTTCATATTGGACTCATTTTGAAGCCTTCATTTCGTTTAAATTTTCTCTCTATTTGGCTTCATTAATTTTTTGAGTATTATGGAAAGAAATGTCATTTCTTCATCCTCGTCATCATCAGAGTCACTCTCATTTTTGGTGGATTTGAAAGCAACACCAACGTTCTTCTTTTTCTCCATTTCCTTCTTTGTATCGGCATTCTTCTCATGATCTTCCTCATCCTTAATCATCATTTCGTGAGTGAGGAGAGAACCAATGAGCTCATCGAGAGTTAAAGACTTTAGGTCTTTAGCTTCGATAATTGCATTCTTCTTCAATTGCCAAGCTTTTGGAAGAGATTAAATTATCTTCCTCACAAGTTTCTCATTAGGGATTATTTCTCCGAATCCCTTGAGACTATTGACAATTACGGAAAATCTATCCGTCATACCTTTGATGTCTTCATCTGGTTTTCATCCTGAAATTTTCATAGCCATGACTAAGAAGACTAATTTTGGTTTCTTTTACCTCGTCGGTCCCTTCATGTGTGACTTAAAGTTTGTCTCATATCTCATTGGTGGTTGAACAAGATGATATTCTCCCGTATTCATACGGTCCAAGTGCACAAAATAAAATATGGATTGTTTTTTAGTTGAGCTGGAATAATCGCGTCTCTTCTTCACTCCATATTTCTGGTTCTGTAGATGGTTCAGAGTATCCTCTCATCATGATTTTCCATGCTCCAATGTCACTAGCTTGAATGAAGAACTTCATCATATTCTTCCAATAGGCATAGTTAGCTCTATTGAAGAAAAGAGGCTTGTTGACTGGCTGAAAATCAAGAACGAAGTCGAAGTTTGATGTAGAGGCCATGGATGACTTAGATAACGATTGAACTCTTCCCGGATCTTCTCAAGATGTGGTAAAACCTTCAAATAAGTGTAGCTCTGATACGAATTTTTGAGTCAATCGATCGAATGAATTAGCCAAGAGGGGGTGAATTGGCAATTAAAATTTTGGTGGAAGTTTTGACAAAAAATAAAAATATTTGCACAACGATTTAGAGTGGTTCGACTTTCTCAACTAAAGTCTACGTCCACTACCTTAGCTATCCAAACTAAGGATTTTCCACAAATTCACTCATTTGTCTTTCTTTTGATGACAAAAAGTAACCTTACAACTCCCTCAAGAATTATACCCCAAATTCTTGAGACAGTATCTTCTCAAAGAGAAAATTACAAACTTGCAAACTTAGAAGAAAAACCTCACAAGGTAAGATGTTTGCACAATTCTAGAATAAAGAAAAGAACACTAAAAAATGAATACAATTGAGCAAAAATTGTGTTCTTGAAAGCAAAATGAATATTGAATGGATGTTGGCTTGAATTGCTCAAACTTGTTGTTTGAGGCTTTCACTCTTGTTTCTCTATCACTTGTTATATTGCCAATGGCTTCAAGAACTTGTTTAAATACTCCTTGGATGAGTTCTGAATGTTGGGAATCATAGTGGAGTCAATAGAGCCGTTGTAATGTGAAATCCACTTGAAAAGTCTGCTATGAGCGTATGGGTATCGGTACTCCTTCATAGGGGTATCGATACTACCTGTATAAAATTTAAATATTTCGACCGTTGCAAAACCAACGTTATCGATACCTCTAAAGGAGTATCGATACTACTATGTAAAGTAGTATCGATATCGGTCATGGTATCGATACCCTATTTGCATTCTGTTATTTCTCAGAGTCAAAAACAAAGGAGTAGTATCGGTACCATTGGCTATGGTATCGGTACCATTGGCTATGGTATCAGTACTACTATATATAAGAGTATCGATACCGTGTAGGGTATCGGTACCTATTTGGCACTCGATGTTTGGGGTATCGATATTGTTAATGCAGTATTGGTACTACCGTATTTAAAACTCAATTTTGACTTGCTTATGGTTCAAAATACTTTGTAAAAATTGTTTCAAAAATATTTTAAGTATAAATCTCAAATTTTCATTTAGTAAAGAGCAAAAATTGATATTTGAAAACTTGGAGTAATATTTGTGATATTCGAATATAATATTTAAATCGAATACAAAATTTGAATCGAATATAAAATCTTAAATTTCATTAACATATTTATTTGGTATATCGAAATATCTAAATGTTTTCAACACAATGCAAAAGCAATTCAGTTGTCACAAAATGAAGAAGACGAAGAGACAATTCTGCTACGTTACTCCCGTAAACGTCAGGAGAAAGAGAAAATAACTGAAGAAGTGAATTTAACATTAGACATTTTTACAGACTACGAAGAAACGAAAACTGAATCCTCTTCTATTCATTTCAACTAACTGTAACCTCTAGATTTCTCCGTCAATAGCCACATGTATGCTCCCAATCGAGTCTTAATAGCCCTACCATAATATCAAATATTTGAGTTTTAAAATTAATAAAACAAGAGAAGTAGAAAAGATTCAAAGCAAGAGATGTGAGGAAAACCTATAGATTGAGTTCCTATTTATAGTGGTTCCCATACCAACCCTAACACGAGATTAAATAGATCTCACGTTCTATAGAGCGTAAGTTCCTTTGAAAATGCGTGCCTTTAATTAGAATCTATTCCAAAGTGTCAGACTAAACCTCACACTTTGTAAGGCGTGAGGTCATCGAATATTTTAAAAAATATATTTATAATTTTTTAGGAATTTAAATCAAGATTTTTTTAATTATAAAAAAATTTAATATCTTTTTAAAACAATTTTATTTTTAATTAGAGAATTTTTTTCAATTACGATTTTTTTAAAAATATTTTTAACTTAAATATTTATTTTTAATAAAGGAAATTCACAAATCTCGCGTTTGGTAGGATGCGGGAGGTTCAAAATTCAACCACCGATAATTTTAGTGAGACGATTCAATTTCTCGTGGAACTCGCGTTTATCATATCGTGAGATCATTTATCCTAATATTAAATTTGGTTATCAGAATAGTGCTTACACATCGGAGGGGTCTCGCGTCTTATATAACGCGAGATTGATAGACACGTTATTTATAATGCGAGCTACTCTGATATGGGAAGTTTAGAGGTATTTTTTTCAAATAATTCTTTTTGGGGTTATTTTCCTAATAAATTAATTTTTGGGTTTTTTACTAAAAATGCCGTTGAGTTGAGTCAACCCGATTTGGTTAAAATGGTTTTTTATTTTAAAAATCCGAGTTTAAATATGATCATGTCAAAAAAAATTTATTGGATTTGATCGGATTTTAGATTTAAGTTAATTTTTCTTTATATATTTAAAGATAATTGTAATAATATTTTATTTTATTTTTTTTATTTTATTTTTTCAATTATGTTCTTATTTTTCTAATAAAAATTATATATATATATATATAGGACAGTATTTTAATTACTGTATAAAATTATTTCTAACAGTCCTGAAAAATATAAAACTAAACCTTGAACCTACGAATCTAACATCAAATTATAGCAGATTCGAAGTCAAACGATTATCCAGTTGAAGTAGCCGACGAAATTTGGCCAAAAGAAGAATCAACTGGGAGTTAAAGTTGGAAGCAAAGTTCTAGGTTAGGTACTGAAATTGATTAAAAAAAACGGTTCGTAACTTGAAAAGTAGTGGGGGTGAGTTAACGTCAGTTATGGTGATCTCGAGCCAACTCATTTGACTCTCCACTCTATCACAACTCCATTCACTCAGCGAATGAGATAACTCATCTGCATGAACATGAGCCTTTGCATTCCCATGAACTTACTCATCTTGCTGTTCTCCTCCATTTGCTCCAATGGTGTTTCTGCAGGATGAAGGAGCTCTCGTTTCTTTAATGTCAACACGTTAGGTGCTCGAGCCGATGGACTCTCCGACGACAGCAAAGTTTCGTTTTCTTTCTCTTTTCTCTTTTTCTTCCATTGAAACAGTTGCATATAATTTTGTTTAACTTGTTGGCAGGCCTTCATATCAGCATGGGAAAATGCATGTCAGGCTACTGGTGAGGTACACATTGTGATTCCGAAAGTCACGTATTTAGTTGGTCCAGTTAAATTTGCAGGCCCCTGCAAAAATATCTCCAAAACAACAGTCCATCTGAAGGTAATTTCCTCATCGTGTTCTACATTTTCCACACATAAGTACTTTGGCCATGAACGAGAAAGAAGATTTCAGGGTTATCTCAAGGCAGCAACGAACTTGTCTAGATTCGGAGATGGTGCCAGTTGGGTCGAAATTCGATCGGTTGAAGGGCTAACCTTGACTGGAGGAGGGACCTTTGATGGTCAAGGTGCCAAAGCTTGGCCTTACAATAGCTGCTCCAATGATATTAACTGCATACTTCTTCCAACAGTACGTTTCATTAGCTCGTATTTCAAAATTTGACCCTGTTTTTCTATAGGGCAGCTAAGGATAAGGATCAAAACCGATGACGAAAAGCTTTGTTTCCAACAGAATGTGAAGTTTCTGGCGATGAACCGAACTATTGTAAGAGGCACAACGTCAGTAAACAGCAAGTTCTTCCATATGGCTCTTGTTGAATGTATGGACTTTAAGGGCACTGAAATTAAGATTTCTGCACCAGCAAATAGTCCCAACACTGATGGCATCCACTTTCAGCGGAGCTCCGGTATCGACATATCGAAATCACTTATAGGTACAGGTAATGACTGCATCTCAATTGGACAGGGGAATTCTCAAGTCAGCATAACACACATCAGCTGTGGACCGGGTCACGGCATCAGGTAGCCCATCAGCCTCTAATTCGATCTACAAAAGTAAAGAAATCTTATCTCCTTTGTGTGCCTTTTAACAGCGTTGGAAGTCTTGGAAGATACAAGAATGAAGGTGCTGTGAGTGGATTGGTGGTTAGAGATTGCTCCATGGCAGGGATCTCAAATGGCATTAGGATCAAAACACGGGCTAATTCGCCAGGCCGAACCGCTGCAACCAACATGACCTTTGAAAACATAAACATGGAAAACCTCACCGATCCGATTAGAATCGATCAAGCGTATTGTCCCTCCACGTCTTGCTCCCCAATGGTAAGTTCACCAGATGATAAAAGCCATGAAAATACCAACACTTTGTGATATATCAGAGAAAGAAACTGGGTGACCAAATGAGTTGAGTGCAGGGACAATCTCAAGTGAAACTGAGTGACATATATTTCAAGAAAATAAAGGGAACATCATCATCTGCAGTGGCAATAGCACTAGAATGCAGCAAGGGGGTTCCATGCCAGTATATTTACCTTGAAGATGTTCACTTGGAGTTGGCATCAGGGAAAAAACAAGCCACTTCCCCTTGTAAAAATGTTAGGGCTAAATACATTGGTGGCACCCAAATCCCACCACCATGTGCTTAGCTTTCATTTTAAGGCATAATTTATGTATATATTTTCTGGTAAACCTGCAGTAAGTAATAAAAATATTTATTGTTTGTGATGTTTTTGCCAGTTATCCCTGCCTGGATAATTTGATCATCATAAAAATTTGAGTGTTCATAATTAACAGGAGATAGGGTTCTTAAACTGCTAAAAATAGGAGATTTTGTATTATGCATGTAAACTTGGATGGTGAATCTTGCTTACTATGAGCAATTAGAGAAAAATTATAATCCAGAAGGTTTTTGCATACTCATTCCCATTATCGGTTTTCACGATTTTTTTAAATAAAATAAATTCCAGTCTACCGTTAAAAATAAATTGGCTAAACTATGTATTTAGTCACTCATCTATTTTAACATTTTCGTTTTGATCACCCAACTATTTTTTTAAAGTCATTCCTAATATCATGTTTTTGTTCTGTTTTGGTCACATGCTGTTAAAATATAAATATAACTTGCGACATGTCATTTTTTTATTTATTTTTTCAATGATAATGTGGTATTTCCTTATGATGACACGTCAGTATTACTGTTATTAATGTTTTAACGATGAGTGACTAAAACATAATGTTCAATATTATTTTTTAAAAAAATAGTTGGATGATCAAAATGAAATTCTAAAAATTGGTGAACAATTAAATATGTAGTTTATCTAAAGAAATATGTTAGTGTCCCAGGCTAATATGTCTAATTTGGTTATTCATATTTTTAGAAAAAAAAGTTTGAAAAATATAACATCGAAAAAAGTAAAATTCAATTAAAATAGAGAGTTAACTAATGTTTTTTTAATAATGATAATTAGATTTCATTAACAAAAATAATGAAAAAGATTAGAATTATAGCACACCTGACCATAGAGACAATAAATTTTCTATTGCTGAAAAAATATGAAACTTATAGTTAATCTAAGATTACGGCTATCGAAGTTCAAATAATGAAATGATATAAAATTTAGGCTTAAATATAAATAAATGTCTAAATTGTACCCTTTTTCTAAATACAATGGCAGAACTTGACAAAAAAGTTTAAGGGGGGCAAATTAAAACTTTAAAATACTTAAAGGTTTGAATTAAATTTTTAAAAATTGTGAAGAGTTAAGTTTATTTTTTTTTTCTAAAAAATTATGGTCTAACTATTTTTGTTTTTTGAAAATTTGAGAGGTTTAATGAGAAATTTTAAATATTATGGGAGGGGTTTAATTAAGAACATTAAAAAGTTTAAAGTTTAATATGAAATTCTAAAAATTTTGGGGGCCAAATTAAATTTTTTTAAAAAATTAAGGGTCTAAATTATAATTTTTTAAATGTTGGAGGGTCATGGCCCCCACTAGTCCTTGTTGAGTTTCGCCCCAATCTAAATAGGTGTCCAAACTATTTTTTAATCAGCTGTGTCTAACGTTATAAACATTATCATTTTGGGTGCTTATACCGTAACTGTTGTTAAATTTCTCCATTAAGTGATACGTGTCACGTTTTTTATAATTTTAAAAATGACATTTTTATAAATATTAAAAATATTATTATATTCATAAAAACCTTAATTTCTCTTAAATTACAAAAAAAAAAATCCAAATCCCTAAAAAACCTAAATCAATAACCCTAACCCACTGATACCATCCTTTTCGGCCACGAATACCATCATTGACATAGTCCTTGCTATCTTCCTAGTCATTCGTCGCCATACTTATTGTCGATTGATCGTCGGGATCATATGGAGTCACGATTTATAGCGTCATATTTGTTAGGGTACACATGTCGATTGACCGACGATTGGTCACAACTTCAAAAGGTTTATCAATCGTAGGGTGAAGGTGATGTAGGGTGGAGGTTTGTTTACGGCCGGTGTGGATTTTGAGGTTGAAACGAGTGTTTTCAAAGTTTTGAGGCATTTTTTAAGTATTTCAAATTTTTTTATTTTTTAAATATAATTTTAATTTTTTTAATTTAATGAAGGAATTTAACGGTAGTTACATTCTGAACACCTAAAGTGATAACATTTTTAATATTAAATATTTAAATGATTAAAAAAACTGAACATCTATTTTAAAAAACGATATAGCTTAATACTTATTTTATAATTGAACCTAGAATTTAATATTTTTTATGTCACCTACCTGTAACCAATTTGAAAAAAAAATCCATGTAAGTAAAGGAGCAACTGAAAAAAAAAATTAATATTTGATATATTTTTTTAATATAATTTTATATATTATTAATGAAGTAGAAAATAATATATGTTTTTATGGGGACATGAGAACATCATCGTTGAAACAGAAACAGAAGCTTAGATAGGCCGATGAATCTTCTCAGGGCTCAACTCTTCAAACCCAAGTAAGGCCCTAACTCAAAGATCCGAAATGCCCGCATTCGAGTTGCTTTACACTCCACGCGACCATCGTCCTCAATCTCGATTCTCCAACGCTTCCAACCCTAGAATTTTCAATTGAGGGTTTTGTTCTTCCCACGAAGCAAATTACTTTTATTTCTTTACTGAACCAAACCAATCACTATCTTCCCAAAACCAAAACCTAAAGGGGCAAAAAAAGAAACCATAAAAGGGGTGATGGATGGTCTTGAACCCTATTCTTTTAATCGTCATCCTCAATATCCTCGTTCGACCAGAACTCGCCATGTATACAGTTGCGGACCAGACGAAGAGCTCGATGATGAAGAAGAACTGGAACAAGAAAACAACAACGTAGATGACGATAACGACGATGACCCAGATGTTTATTACCGTCGTGTCAAAGAAAGCAAGCGTTTTGAAAGGTACCCAAAGCGGCAAAAGCTGAGTACTTCAGCCCCTAGCTTCCAGTACACACCCAACCATAGAGATAGCTTCAAAACTGCTTATGATTGGTCGCAGCAAGAGATTTACGTTCTGTTAGAAGTTTGGGGGAATAGGTTTTTGCAATTGGGGAGGAGGAGTTTGAGGGATGAAGATTGGGTTGATGTAGCTGAGAAAGTTAGTGATGCTTTGAAGATTGTGAAAAATGAAGCTCAGTGTAGGCATATGATCGATGGGTTGAAGAGGAAGTTTAAGAAAGAGAAGTCGAAAGCCGAGAGAATGGGGTTGAATTCGAGTAAATGGGTTTTTTTAGGAAAATGGAGATGTTAATGGGGTTGGGTTCTTCGTTTAAGCAACAGGAATCATGGTTGGCTTGTGGAGTGGATTCCGGGGAGTTTGTGTTTATGAATCCGCAGGTTTATTTGGATAGGTCCAATGGTTTTGATGAGATGAGGGATAGTCCCACTGAGTCAGAGATGGAGGAGGAGGAGGATGGAGAAGAGGCTGATGGAGAGTCAAGGGTGAAAGCTGAAGTACACGATGAGCATTCAATGAGGATGTTGGCTGATTCGGTGCAGAAGTTTGGTAAGATATATGAGAAGATTGAGAGTAGTAAGAGGGAGCATATGAGGGAGTTGGAGAATATGAGAATGGATTTTCAGAAGGAGTTGGAGGTACAGAAGAAGCAGATTTTGGAGAGGGCACAAGCAGAAATTGCAAAGCTGAAGGAAGAGGATGATGATGAGGACGAGACTGACGATGAGGACCAAGACTATGAAAATTCCATGCAGGATATAAGCGAATAGGTTTCTTGGTGTGTACTTGCGTATCTTTATTTTGGCATATCAAAATGCTTTTGTTATTATAGAACATTTGATGTTGCTGATCATTTTTCTCTACTGCTTTTATTTGTTAATTATTACTTCATCATTTATCTGGATTCTTGGTATAATAGTGTTTCTCTGGAGAGTAGAGACTTACCAAAATAAGAAAGATTCATAGCATTTGATTTCTTCCGTTGTTTTATCTTACAAAACTTATATTATTAGCTTATTTTGACTGATTTTCCCTTCGTTTGGTCAGTAATCTCTTTTAATGATTATGGAGATTAATGTTGCTTCTAGTTAGGAGTTATGATGATTTTGTTTTGGTTTTCTTTAAAGGGATGACAAATTTTAAGAGCTCAGTAGTTGGTTACTTACGGCTTTTGGCTTTTGGTTCAACCTATAAGATGATCAGGCTGGACTTCATTACTAGTCACCATACCTCAATGCCTGAGGATAACCTGTAGAGAACTTGTGTAAAAGGGAGTAGGTGTTTAGGCAATAGAAAACAGAGTTGTGTTTGATCCTAAAACCTATCTCATTTTGGTAAGTCGTAGAGGTAGGAGCGCATCTGGCGATTAAATCTTATCTGAAGATATAGATTAGGTTTCTAGATAGTAAAATTAAGTTACAACCAAAGTGAATGCGAGGTAGCTTATATTAGTGGTACCAGAGGCAGAGATAGTAAAATTAAGTCGCAATCTTATATTTGAGACGTCACTATTTCTTATCAATTTTTTTATACGTCATATCAAAGAGACGATGTTAGTATGCACCTTTTTCTCTCTTTTTTACTCTTGGGCACTTTGTGAGATTCAACTTGGAGTTTTTGCCTCCAGATTTTATCCTGATCTTAAGCCATGATGGTCACTTTGTCAATACTTGGCTTATTATGTTTTCAGTGTTTGGTGATATGGAATCCACTAGAATCTGCTCTATGATAATCTAGATTCATGTTTTGGGCACATAGTTTTGTTGTTTCCAGAAAATTGAATTTCTTGCTGGAGATTTTTCCATTGCCATAGAACGATAAGCATATGTGGTATTTTCGTCAGAATTAAGAGATGTGGGATTCTCAATTCTCATGATAAGTCGAAGACTCCGTTAATTTTCTGATATTCTAAATATTGCTGTATTCTCAGGGTTTGAAGTTTTGTAAAGAACTATTACGTCTCAACATGCAACAAGAAATGTGATTCGTGGGGGATTTTGTGCGCCCTGCATGGTGTGATGACTTATGGAAGTTGAAAGTTTCAGTCTTGATAGATGTTCGCATTTAGAATCTAATAAGTTTATGATAGATTAGGGCTAACTTTAATCATCTTCATATGCTGTCATTCGAATGAGCTCATTTGACAAGCTTTAACCT